TCTTCAATTGCACAGACTTCGGCAGCATGGACGTCATCGAGAAACTTGGAACTATTGCTCAGTGAGCTCGACCTCCTCCTGTAAACGTTGGTCCTTGCACCCGAGCATCTCGGTTAGCTTCTCGACCTCCCTCGCGAAGTCCACATTACGACCTCGCTCCACCACGAGCTCGTCCTTCAAGTCGCCGATGAAACGGACAACCCGCTCAATTCGGGACCTGTACTTTGTCTCTTCCTCGTCGGCAACCTAGGCCCTAACCAAACTACCCTCAACTTGCCCCAACAAAGAGTGTGCCAAAGTGTTCACCTTCAAAAGAGATAAAGAGAAATGAGTCTAGAATGAAGGTCATAATGAATACAACGGAAAGGTCGGGAACATACCACCATGAGGCAACGCATAAGCTTTCCCCTGAGCTCACCGGTACGTGACTCGTGAAGCCTCGCGACCTCTTCAGGAAAGACGACCTCCTTGCCCCTCACCAGAGCGGTCCAAAAGTCCATGATGGTGCGGCTCTCCTCGGGATAAATTTCGGCATTCGACCCTCCAGACGCCCCGGCCTCGGGTGGTGGAAGGGGCTCCTCGGATACACGAGCAGCCTCGGGCTCTAGCGAGGTCCTTCTTGGCCAGTCTCCCTCGACTATGTCGACAACCGGTACAGTCTCAACAGTTTACACAGCGGTCTTCGGACCTGAGGTCCCTCTTGGTGAGTCACCTTCCTCTTCTTCCTCTTCATGGCTTGGAACAGCCCGAAAGTTGGCATGCCCAACATGCCTCCTGTACAAGAAATTCAAGGGTGAGTCGAACTGTAAGAAGAAAAGAAAAAAGTAAAGAAAAAGAAAATACCCAAGCCTGAGGTGACGACCTACCCGAAGGACACAGCCCGGCCTGGATCAGCTTCTCCTCGGCCAAGTACTCACTTAGCATAGATTTCCGGTCCACTAGGACCTACATCCTTGCCTGCAGCCGCTCACTAAGAGTTTCCTCCCTGGAGTCCCTCACTCTCTCTTTCCAGGTTGTAAGGAACGGCCATCCGCCACTTAGGTCAAGGAAGAAATACTTCCTCTTCCAGGTCGGTACCTTGGAGTGGAAGTTGTTCAACAGCTTCACCCAAGTCGGTAGGACAGATAATAACTATACATCCAGGAGTGCTAGAAGGGTTTTTCTTTATATGGCATAAGCCAGCAAAGGTCTCAACATCTAAGGGGAAGCCGACGTGGTGACATAACAAGATGGTGCCGACAAGAGTCCTAATGGAGCTGGGGTGAAGTTGATCTAAACTAATGATGTAATAGTTTAGTACCTCGGGGATCAACGGATGAAGAGAGAACTGAAGACCCGCTTTTAGGGCCTCCTCGAAGACAACGATCCCGTCATCCTCGTGCTCCCACAGGTACCCCTCAAGAGGAAGAGAGTATCTAAACTTATTCGGAATCTTATACCGAGTTGTGAGCTCATAGATGTTATCAGTAGAGAGCTCAGAGGAACCGAACTGGTTCGGTGCTTTAACCCTACGTGAAGACGAGGCCCTCTTATGAGAACCACATCGGTCTTGAGACGAGGTCCCTTCCTCGGCCCAGCAAGACAAACCCCCCCTTCCTCGGACTCACTACTAGACATTGTGAATGAAATGGCTCTTCTGGCAAACCACTTACACCAACTTGAGGTCTCGCCTAGCTATTCGCAGTTTGGTCTACCGAGATGGTGCCAAGGTCGTTGATGCAGTTGTGAAGTGTTCAAAGTGGTCAGTTTACGTGGTGTTGAGGTGTCACCCAACTGTCCTACGATCCCACGTGTCATGATGTCATTGGAGGACCATATTAACCCTCATCAAATGCCCCCCACTCCCAAGTTCGAGGTGGTCAGTCCGGTGAGGGAGGAGTTATAACTTGAGGTGATTTGATCCGTTCATCCTCATTTGTGGTCCGATCAATGGTTCGGGATCAGGTCGGTTCAATTGGTCCAACCTAGATGCAAGGTAGCGTACCGAGGACACACAGAACACAACTATTAGGTCGCGCAGACGTCAAAAACACGCTAAACTAATTTCACCTCAAAATACGAACCTCTGCACCCTTGTGAACAGTTGGATCCAACTGATCTCAACCGTTCATAGTTCGGTTCATCCGTCTATAAATAGGACCCTCAAGGGCCCATTTTTCTCCTCCCTATCGGGCAACCACCTCCTCAAGCGGGTCATCATCTCCGAGTCTCCAACTTCCCCGGGATCACGATGCCATGTCAATAGAGTCGATTATCACACCACTCACTTCGGATGCAACTGGATAAGCACTACCCGCTTACGCAGAGTCCACCTCCAGGCATGAAACCACCTCCAAACCAAAGGAGCCGAAGATCCCATACGTGTTTCGTGAGGCTCACGGTAGCCCACCTATATGAGGGCCTCACCTCCAACCTCAGAAGGTGCACACGATTTAGCTCTCAAGTACTCTAGCTCTCTTGCATTCTTGCAATCACATCTCCAGTTCGCTAACTTAAGCATGGGAGTGCCCACCCCAGATAAAGCAACCCGGTCACTCTAATCTCTCTCTCTTATAGCTTGGCCAAGTGACCTACTCAGCCCGATGTTAGAGCTGTCCGCCAGCAAGGAGCACCACATCGCGCATCACTAGAGCTAATGCCACTTTTGTTAGATTAATCCCAAAATCATCCGAAGCTTTGAAACGCAAACTTCCACCCATCAATTTGATAGGGAATCTTTACAAGATAATCTCTAAGGTTGTGTTTGGTTTGAAGGAAAAAGTAGGGAAAGGAAAGGAAAACCTTTACAAACCTTGTATGAGGTCTCCCTATCTTTCCTTTCCTTTCCTCACCTTTTCCTTCAAACCAAACATAGCCTAAGGTGCTCTCTCTTAGGTCTAAGTCTGTCTTTCCATCTATAATTTATCAGTTTCAAGGAGTTTCAAAGGAAGCATTTGGAAATGATTTATGTCTATTTAAATTGGGGTCAAGGAGTTAATTTCATATATCTGATTTTCTGGGTGTTTTTGTATTCCTTTTATTACAAATTGTAAGACTGGCAATCTCTCATCACCCTATTTGATGAAACTCCTTTCTCTTAATAAAATTTCCTTTTTTATTAATTATCAAACTAAAAAGAATTAACCCATTTTAGGTGGCATGATGTCACTATTTTTGCAAATCCAATTCTAAAGTGTTTAATGCCAATCCCACACTATTGTAATCTTTGCTCATACCAATAGACCTTCTCCTTGTATAAAGCAATACATGGATCAAGAAATGTCATAGAGCAGAAAAAGAAACAATGAACAATAGTTGTTTTGACAAAATAGTAATACCAAAGCTGTTTTGACAAAATAGTAATACCATAGCTTCATCATTTCCCTCTAAAGTAACAATATTTCTTTTTTATCAGCGATAGAAATTAATTTTAATTAAAATAGTGTTAAATCATTACATAAGAGACTAGAGCTTTCATCCAGCACTTCAATCATTTATAAAATCCATTACATTTCTGCCCAAAAAAAAAAATTGTTCCCTACCCCTTGCTTTGCTAGGACATCAGCCAACCCATTTTCCATTCTCTTAACCCATCTAAAAGTAGCTTCCACCTAAGGTTCAAAATTTCATCACGTATCAGCTGATACATATTGTATCGGTGGGTCACTGATACGCTGAACATGTTTGGAAAAAAAAAAACTAAAAGAAAATGAAAGCATGTTATTTTAAAGACCGATGTGCTGTATTGGGCATATCGGACTATTGATATTTGGAACCTTGCTTCCACCTCTGTAACCAATCTTCTTCCCATCTCCCTCTTATAGCTTACCTGAACATCCAGGCAAACTAATTATTGCAGCTCATCCAAGAGATAACTAGCTTTGAGTCTCTGTAAACACCTCCATCTGTTTCTTTTTTTTTTTATCAGCAGCAAAAGAAATTTAAAGATGTAAATTTAGGAGTTACAAGAGCTTGGATGCAATTCCACCCCAAAACAACAAAAGATTACAGATTTGCCTAAAACATTTGCTGTCTTACAGCCCCTTGTTTGGCCAAAGAATCTTCCATTCCGTTTGCTGTTCTTCTCACCCATTTAAAGGCAACATTTAGCTCCCTTGTTAGGCTTACAATCTCCCTGAATTTTTACAGGAAGACCCAAGGAATGTGGGAACTGTTTCTTTCCAAACTGTTTAGCTAATTTCAATCCTTGAAACAGAGACAAGACCTCAGCTTTTAATGAGTCCCCCATATCCAATCAGTCCAGAGTACAAGGCTACCACCACACCTTCACCATTTCTAAAGACTCCTCCAATTCCCAAGGGTCTTGGGTTACCCACAGAGATTCCATCAAAATTCAGTTTGACATTGTCATGTGAGAGGGGTTTCCATTAAAAACCACTGTCTTCTTTATTGTGGACTTTGTCACCACTTCCCATGACTTCAGAATATCATCCAGGGAGAAGGCTTTAAAAGCTTACATTGTCGATTGTTCTTACCCAATGCGCTGCCTTCACCTTTAAAAGCTTGCATTGTTCTTAAGTGACAAGTTCCCCTATCTAACTAAAGATGATGGTGCTTTACATCAGCATGTAATCATGCACATGCATTTGAAGGCAGGGCTTCACTCACAAAGGGAAGTACAGATTTTGAGTCATACCCTTTATGAACATTAGACTTTTTATTCACTAGGATATTAAAATAAAAAGGAATTTCACCCAAAACAAGCATATTTATAGAACTTCACAAATAGTAACCTATGAATAATTTATGTGACCAAAATAGCCAGGTGCCAACCCACGGGTTGGTAAGGTCCCCTGCTGGTCGTAGCGGAGACTTGGGATCAAATCCCGCCTGCACCTGGGTAGGGGGTTATGGGTTGGGGGATGGGCTACCCCTCGTTGTGTAGCCCTTCAAAAGAAATCACCAAAAAAAAAAGATCAGAAGAAAATATTTTCTTTTTTTATCAATACCAGAAGCATAAATATGTATGCACCTCTTATAATATAAATATGTACAAGTACCTGGGAATGAAGACTGAGTTGACTGTGAAGTATTTTGTTTTTGCTTTTCGTGTCCAGGATATGCCTGCAAATAAACAAGATTTAACAGGCTGGACTTTTTTTAAAGATAAAATAAAATTCATTAAAAGAAAAAAGGATTACAACCTAGCAGGTGATAAGGCACTACCAGCCTTTATATGGAAATGGAACCAAAAAGCCAAAACAACATCTGCTAGAGAGCAGAGATACAGAAATACATAAAACTACCACAGATTACACAGTTGGAATTCCAAAATATTTCCCAAATTATCACCCACTTACACAGAAATGTCAAAGCTACTAACTGAATGATTAATGATATTTTGAGGTAAGTAGTACAGAATATACCTCATCACTTGTGACTTTGGAAGTGTTAGAGGATGACCCAGGGCCATGGGCAACAGAACTATCAGCATTATGGTAATGAAGACTCTGCTGATCTCGCTTATTTGGTAGTAATGCATCAGATTCATGAGTAAATCCCAAAGGCTGGTTTTTTATTTGCCCCATATTGATGTCTTCCTCTACTAACCAGCCTCCACGTGTTTGTATTAATGGTGGTGATGCTTGTGCAGGTGGCCTTGGTAGAATAGGAGGATCACCTGAGCATTGATCCCTCACATCCTGACCATGCTGCAATATAAGGAGTCTTCTCCTCAAATCAGGATCTAATTCAGGGGGGATAATATCCCATCTAGCAGGAGCTCCAAGTATACTAGGTTCTGAAATGCAAAAGACACAAAAAAAATGCAATATAAAAAAAAAATGAGAAAGCAAAACTAATTAAATATATCTGAGCATATGCAAGTTTATAATCCGATTCTTAAACAAGGAAAAAATGAAGGTCATACTCTGCGAAGGTAAAATGGGTCGAGAAGTTGCCGGGCTGATAACATTTGGTGAGATGTTCACAAGTTTCTGTGTTTCAGGTCTTACATTGGGATTGCTTGTGAAAGGAGGAGCAGGATCTACAATATGTTTCTCATCCTAACAAAGGAAAGAATATGAGTTGTTAGCCCTTCATGAATTGACAAACAAAACAGCAACATAATTACTCAAATTAAAACAATATCAATAGCCAATTTGCCAATCAACTATCACTTGAAGCTACTACTCTTTCATCTTAACAAATAACAAAAGCAACATCACATCAAGTCCGTGAATGAATAATATAGTGGATGTAGAAATCACCGGTCTATTCAATCTCCTTTCAACTTCAGCACCATTCGTGCCCTCAGAAATGGGAATATCTCTATTGGCATTTTGTACAAAACCAGCATCCTGACAATTTAGAGACAAATAAAAATAATAGCAACAACAACTGAAGAATTTAGATGCCAAGTGTTTTTATATAGTGTCAAAAGCAATATTATTTAATTTAAAGTACCTACCTCTGACATCAAATAGTTGCTCACATCAGGAGCATAAGGCAAATTTATAACTTCATCTTCATAGCGGAGTTCAGAAATTTTTCGCAAAAGGTTCTCATCAAATTCTCTACAACACAGTAGATACACATCGCAAGCTAAATATACAACGCAAACATATTAATTATGAACCAAGAAAGCAGTAGAAAATTATTATTTCTGCTTATATCATTATAGAAACTACAAGACGAGCGAAATCAATCAGATCACATACTTAAAATAGCCAGCCCTGACATTGCATGCAACATTCCTTGCAACACATAATACAGGCACAGGGTTTGCTCTCTATCAAGAACATAATCAAGTTAGTACTAGTTTTGCTTAGAGGGTAATATACTGTCATCAACCAACAACCTACAAAAGAGCAAAAATGTGTACCTCGGCCAGAGGGGCATAATAAGGAGTAAAGGCAGGGACAACGTGAACTCTAGGTTGGTCCTTATCTTCCCAAACATTGAGGCGGTCATCAATTACCATTGCCATCTTTGGATGGCAAATCCCATCTTGGAAAACATTAAGAAGAGATTTCCGAGAGCCTACTAAGTTTGAATCCAAACAAAGGAGATAAGCCATAATGATCCAAAGGATTATTAAAAAAAATTGAGATAAGCTATGGAAATACAATGGTGCAATAATCAAAACCATAACTACAGCTTAGCATAACAAGTCCAAAACTGTTAAAGACTACTAACTACAAATATGAAACAAAACTACCTCTAGATATGATGCATGCAGAATTAAAGAGAATGATAATCAGTATTTGCTTGGAGTATTTAATTATAATATAAGTATGTTTTGTATTTGCATGGGATGTTGGCCTTGCCTGATCTGACACATACAACACGAGTCAAAAGCTGCTTTACACTTATAAGATGTGCCTCTGGATCAAGAAGTCTCCACATCTCTAGAGCATAATCTCTTTCGGCCATTGTACAAACATAAACTTCAAAACGCTTTCGTCCTTTTGCTGTCAGATAACTTTTCAAATCCTCCCATGCAGGTCGCAATCTCACAAGAACACTAGTATCACGGATCTGCAACAAGATGGAAACTAGTAAATAGTAATTGAAAGAAAACTCTAATGTTTTCATTTCACATTCATAACTAAGCAACAAATTGAAGTTGTAGATGTGATCATTATCCACATGTAAATACATGACAGGTCCAAGAATTTTCTGTGCGACAAGCCTTTGGGGATGTTTTCTATTGGTCCCTTCACATATATGCAAGTACTAGCATGATAATGTATCATGTTCAACACAATAAATCTGTCTTTGCTTTCTACTAACTATCTTTTCAAAAAGCTTAATGTTTCAGTAGCAAGAAGCACATATCTGAATTGTTTTTTGAAGCAGAGTTGCGTTCCTGGTGAAACACATATTTAGCATGAATTTTTCTCTTCGCGCATTTAGCTACTGCATTGACAACACAAGTTTATAGAATATTTATATTGAATTGAATATACTGCATATTTTCCTAACTTATAAATCTTGCCTTACGAATACAAACCACAAAGTGTCATCTGTCTTCCCTTTCTACCAAAAAAATGAAATGAAAAAAAAAAAAGTTATCTTTATCTTCCGCTTACTTTGCATTAAGGCACATAATCTAATGCATACCTTTATTCATCCAATACTATAAATTCGTTGGGCCCAATTAACGTATTATGAGCCATCAACATCAAGATAACAAAGTAAGGCTAATATATACGATAAATTGAAATATTAACCTCTGGATTAATCCGAGTAAGGACAATATTCCTCTCTTGCAATCTAATAACTGGCCGGATGATTCGCTCGTGATTATTAGATAGAGGAGGAACCTCCTCCAGCTGAACCTTGAGCGTTTTACCATTATCCATGACATAATCGCCTTCTATGTACTGTTTCAACAACATTCTATCTTCTACATATCGTTTAAGCTCAGCTGACATTCCTGAAACTCGAACCGGATCAGTTTCACAGGCAATCCTACGTTGCAGAGCGTCAATTCTGTCCTCAAATGACTTCATTGTATTAGCAACAATAAGTGTCTCGTCAAGATCAAACACAATCGCGAGACACCGGAGATTCAGCATCCCTAAGCAAGAACCGTAAAGACCTAATGGAACTGAACAACACCAAAAGCACGGGAACTTCTCCTGCTTGCTCGTCATTGCCACCAAATGGAGCTCTTCCTCTCCGAGCAACACGACGGCCGTCTGTAAAACAATTGAAAACAACAAATTTATAAGAATCAGGAGGAAATAAGCAACCCATCGTGACGGATCAACTAAAATAAATCCGTATGGAAAACCTTTAATTCATAGAAACAGGAAGCATGAAGACGACTCAGTGGAGACTGCTCGACCACAGTTTTCGATTCAAGCTTGCAACGAACTGAAAAAGGAGAAATCGTTTGAAGGACTGAAAGAGGAGGGCATCGTTCACTGGGCTGAGAGATGTAGTTGATTCGTATTTCGTTATTTGGGAATTGAACATTCTGGTTTTTCGCGGGGAAAATCTCAACTTCCCCCAAACACGAGTCGCCATGATATACCACCGATTTGAACCCTAGACGACTCATTTAAAACAGACCAGTAATTCTGCTCCAGAATCAAAACCTAAGAAAACCTTCAATCTCCGCAGATTTCGATCCAAACCTGAACGTCTAAGAAAGAAACTAGGGCTTTGAAATCTAATAAGTTTTTTTTTTCCTTATTTTTTTTCTCCTTTCCTTTATGAAGCCCTGTCCCCTCAGTTTGTCACTCCCTCGCTAGTAGCGGTTTCAAATTGTGCAACGGCAATATATATAAAGCTAATGGTCGGTTAGGTAAATAATGTTAGTTCGGAGATAGGATTAGCTGAACGCAATAGCAATTGCGCACGCTGCGGAACCAATCACACCTATGGGCGACGATATACCTCTTCATGGGTCGGGCCGGCTTTTGCTCTTTATTAATATAAATTTTTCAGGCTCGAGCGTGAGCCCGGCCCGACCAATGGGCCTTAAACTTGGGCCCGAGCCCGGCCCTCATAAAAAGCTCGAAGCCCGGGCTTGAGCCCGAAGCCCGACCTGGGAGTCTGAGCGCCGGTGCCCTCTGAGGATTAAGAGAATGATGCCTGCTGAGTGAGTTTGTCGATTCCTCGGAGTTTGAGAATGATAATCGAAACTGAGAAAGTGAGGAGATAGAAGATGGCAACAGTGCCAGCCAGAGAGAGAGAGAGAGAGAAAGAGAAATCACCACTCGAGAGAGAGAGAGAGAGAGAATCTAGATCTGGTGGCGCCAACCGCTGGTGCCTGAGTTCGCAGAATGAAAACGGTGCGCCTGGGTTCTGGTGGCGCTAGCTGGAAAGAGAACTGAAAAGATAGAAGACCTAGTTCTAAGAAGAGAGAGAACTGAGAATGAGAAGAAAGAAGATGAAAATGGTGTTGACTGAAGAGAGAGAGAGAGAGAGAGATCACCGCCAAAGAGAGAGATAACTACTTCTAGTGACGGTCGCCGGTGACAGAGTTCGCAGGTGCAGCTGGGTTCGCCGGTTCTGAGAGTTGAGAGGGAGAAATGAGAGTCACATCAGAGAGTGAGAGTGAGAAAGGAGAATGAAAATAAAATTTTTAAGTATTTAGGGTTAGGGTTGGGCAGTTTAGTAAAGTCGGGCCGAGCCAGGCTCGGGCTGGGATTTTTAAACAAATCCCAAGCCCGGTCCGTAAAATAGTCAGGCTCGGGCTTTTAGGCCCAAGGTCAAGCCTACGGGCTAAAACACATGCCCAAGCCCGTTCGGGGGTCGGGCAAGGCTGGCCCGTCAGGCTACCCGGCCCATGAATAGGTCTAGGCGACAAGGATACCACAGCCTTCAACACAACTAATCTAAATTCGTCTGTAGCAAAAAATTATGTTTGTTTGATAAGAATCAAGCAATTGTCAATTGCCAATATTCGCAAGAGACAGATTAACCCAGGCCGATGAGAACGTGAATCGAATTTTTGAACCTTCTCTTCGCGAGACAGGGTGCCCCAATGTACTACCAATTAAACATGTATTAGTCACGATTAGACTTGTTCATGGGTCGGGCTTGGGTTGGGCTTTTACTCTTCATTAACAGGATTTTTTTAGGCCCAAGCTCGAGCCCGGCCCGACCAACAGGCCTACAACTTGCGCCCAAGCCCAACCCTCGTAAAAAGCCCGAGTTTAAGATGAAGATATATACATATATATATATATATATAAGAGAGAGCACGAAAATAAAATCTTCAGAGGAGAGGCAAGAGAATCTAAGCTTTCAATGGGAAACCTTACTGAACAAAAAACAACTCTCCAATCATGGAGATTGATGAATCAATTTTTGGTCATGTATCAATCTTTTGGCTAAGTACCTCGTCATTTGGTCTGCTTCCAAGTGGCCGATGACTCAGAGGCCGAAGTGGAGCTGCCTAGGTGCCGAGCTGCTTGTAAGGTGCCGACCTACCTGTGAGGTGCCGAGCTGCCTGTGAGGTGTCGACCTACCAATGAGGTGTTGAGCTGCCTGTGAGGTGCCGACCTACCTGTGAGGTGTCGAGCTGCCTGTGAGGTGCCGGGTTGGGCTCCCTATGAGGTGCCGAGCTGACCAAGTGCAGGGCTGCCTGTGAGGTGTCGAGCTGACTAGGTGCAGAGCTGCCTGTGAGGTGTCGAGCTGACTAGGTGCAGGACTGCTTGTGAGGTGTCGCGCTGACCAGGTGTAGGGTTGCCTGTGAGGTGCCGAGCTGACTAGGTGCACGGCTGCCTGGTGATGAGCTGGATTGATAAGCTTCGTTGCTCTTTTAGAGACCTGCAAGGAACCAAATGTCAGAGGACCCGGGGTGGCTAACCCGGCGAGGTCACTCCGATGCTTAAGTCAGTACTCTCATAGTAGACTGTGAGCTAAAAATCACAAAGTATGAGAGATAGAATTTGTTTACTTGCTTGCCCTCCCCCTTTGCTTCTGGGGTTGGTGCCTTTATATAGGCATTGTTTGGCATGGGCTTCACGCACCATATCTGAGATTTCTACGAGGTCGTCTAAATGGTTTGAGATTCCTAGAGGTAACCGCCATGCACGTTGACCACCCTCCAGATCGTTCGGCACGTGGGCCAACTTACAAGGATCGTGGGAATGTTTGGATATGCATGTCGAATTCGTTGGTGAGCATGTCTTGCAAGTCACCAGGTCGGCGCATGTGCCAGGCCACCAGGTCGCGCCAGGGCCAGGCCGCGCTTGGGCCGCCAGGTGGGACACCATCAACTTGGCTAAGGCAAGTTGTTGCCAAAGTGGTTCCGGGTGTCACCTATTTGTTCCGATGCCATGTGTCACAATATCATTGGAGGGCCAGATCCACCATCATCAGGGATCAATAGAAGAAATACGAAGAACAATGATTTCATCTCATCTCTTCACTTGTGATACTGGAATTGGGGATTAGGGTTTCCGCTTGCAGTTTCATAGGTCCCCTCCCTATTTTTTCTCCATAATTGAAAGGAACATCATAAATGAAACGAAAATTAATAGTATACTAGTATTGCATCTCCTCCCCTCGCCATTCTCTCATTTCAGTCATTTCCATTGTTGCGTCAAGTCAGTTGCTCTGAAGGAGAAAAGAAAAAAGATGACTGGATGATATGGAGAAAAAATATGAAGAAGAAAGGGAAATATGGATGCAAGAGACATCAGTATCACTTGTCTAGAGAAAATGGGCTAAAGATTCCCTCACGGTCCCTACTAAAAGGATAACATATAAGTTGTAACATCCAAGGCGGCGGTGGACTCACCATCGGAGTTCACTGGTGGCGCCGGTGTTGAGTTCACCTCTGAGACTGAGAGTGCCTGAGTTTGACGGTTGCTGAGAGTTGAGACTTGAAAGTGAGAAGGGTTAGTTGGTTATTTAGGGTTTAAAAGTTATATGAAAGTCGGGTTAGGCCGGGCTCAAGCTGGGCTTTTTTGACAAATCCCGAGCCCGGCCCGAAAACAAATCGAGCCAAGCTTTTAGGCCCAAGGTCAAGTCCGCGGGCTAAAAACCTTGTTCAAGCCCGTCCAGGGGCCAGGCTGGCTCGTCGGGCTACCCGACCCATGAACAGGTCTAGTCACGATCCGTGCATCTTGCTATATACGCAAATTTGACAATGGCAAACAAAGCTCTTTCATTTCCTCTTTTATCACTTCGGACCGAGTTACCCTTGTGTAGTTCCTCCTATTTATACCAAAAAGAGTTTAAGGATAGAGATATTATATTTTCAATTTAGCAGTGCAGCCAAAGCTTGGAAGTGTGGGTGCTTTTTGGGACTGGTTTTCAAGTAAAAACGCCCATGCTTCCAATACCCATTTTTCACAAAAAAATGCTTCTGCCATGTAGGCAATGAGCAACACTATGCTGTTTGGTAAGGTGATTTTAATCACCGTTTTTCATGTATGTGTTGACAGGTAAGCACCACATAGAATACACATCAGTCAACCGTTCGGAGAAATGGTTGGCATTTCATGCATCGGTGGGGTCATGATTTACGAGGCATGCCCGATTTTTCAATAAACGCCTGAACCAAACATTCATATATATGGGCGTTTGTTGAAATGCCTATGTGGATCCGACGTGTCACCGTTTTTTTTTTTAAAACGGCCATGGTTCCAAACATCCCCTTAATTAAGTATTATTTTTTGTGTTATGTGTGAAGTTTCATTTTCATGATAGTGGCCAATTTCTTTATGCCCCATATAAATTTATAATATTTTTTGTACTTTAGTGTTAATTTTTTTTATAACTTTTTATTGGTTTATTATTATTTTCATATTATTTTCGGATACAATTATTAAAAAAATCTCTTATATCTATGAAAAACACCTTTGTTTTTTGACCCAAACAAAGGTCGCCCCTCTAGTATTGGGAAAAAAAGTGCAAATATTTCATTTCCCTTGGCTCTTCACTCTTCAGCAACAAAGACATTGAAGTTGCCAAAATACCCATATCGTAATTAAGTCGTTATTGTATACAATTTAAAATTTCAAATTTACCCTCTAGTAATTTATTTTACCCCAAAGAATAGTTCTCCTTGCTTTTCTTGGATGAAGTAAGGTAAAAAGGCTTTAGTGAAGTAAAATGAAGCAAAACTTTTTTTCAATGTATTTTAGTAAATTTACATGTAAATGAATTTGGCTATGGGTAAATTTGATGTTTAAAAAATCAATGCATTATATCAACATTTTTATCTGTAATGCCAACAAACGTAAGGTCTTTACACTTTTTTCAAAACAACATGGTACATTTTATGTTATGGTCAAAATACATGGGAGTTTCATAGGATTGTTAGAAAACCCAAATAGGTTTTTATATTTCTTAATGAAATTTAAACTGAATTTAAATTAATTAAATTATATTTGAAATTAATACTTTTTTATTAATTTTTGTACTTATTAATCCTTATTAAATTTAATTAACCATATTAAGTTTTCATTTTTTAGTGAAAATTAAGTTGGTTTTAGAATAGTAAAAAGTAATTATAAAACTAATAATTGTTAGATAGTTTTGTATTACTTATATATTAAATTAAATTCAAGATAGTTTTTAATTTCTTCTTCCTTTTTATCAATTAAATTATTTATATTGTATTAATAAAAGTATATTATCAGTAACAATAATTAATAATTATTCTTTTCTATTTACGTAACTTATTAAAATATTTTTACTATGTTAGTTAATTTTTATTGTTTTCAAATGGATTATAATTTTTACAATGTTTCATTCCATGTTTTTAACTTGTCACTTACACTCAGAGTTGAACCATTC